TACAATGCCTCAATGACGGAGTTACAGAAAGCTCTTGTGTTAGATCCGCGAAATGAAGCCATTAGAAAAGCTATTCAGACAGTAAGTTGAAAGATTTTTTACAAAAATTATTTTTTTACAAAAAGAATTTTTTTGTAACAATATTCTTTTTTTACAGACGAATGTAAAACAGCGTGAGTATCTGGAGGTAGAGAAACGTTTGTGGAAAAATTGCTTCAAGTCCAAGGAAGAACAAAACAAAATTACTGAATTTCGAAAAGCCGCGCGTGAATTGTGTAACAAGCTCATCGAGAGCAATGATATGACAAGACAGTCTCTCTACGAGGGTTTTACAGAAGAAGAATATGAAATTATACATGAAGAAGCTGCCAAATTAGGATTGGATTTTCTTAAGTCTAGCAGATATGGCAAAAAAACTGCGTATATTCAAAAGAACAAATCATGAAATTACTTATCCTTTAAAATTGCGATGTCAAGGAAGCCTAGTATAGGGCCTGATTTTTATTTTTAAAATTCTTTAAGTTTATAATCATTTATTACAATATTATACAAACAAAATTACTTTGAGTTCAAGAGATTCCATATATGGTATGTACTATTATATTGTAATGACAAGACCAAAGAGGATCATAGAGATTAAAATAGCATTAAGATCTGACATAAATATGTGTGTGATATAAACGTGATTTTGTACTTTTTTAAACACAACAATAAACTTATAATTTGACAAAAATCCTATCTGTTTGATTAATCCTAATCGCGTAGGAAAAGTACGCGAAACTAAATCAATCTATAATGATACTCTTATTTAGATATTAAGTTAGAATAAACAAACACCGGAAGTTCGTGGAGTGACTCTTATGCATTTTCTTGCTCAATGTAGTAAGTAATGAGACCTAATGGATCGACTGATCTAAAAATATTTCTGCTTACGTAATATATTGGTATATAAGAAACTGTTCAACTAAAAATATGGAAAGATATCAACAATGTCTCTTGTTGCAAAGTTCCTCATATCTCTATTTCTAAGTAATGTGATTCTTCTCTCATATAAATAATTTTTCTTTTTTTGTCATAAAAATATTTAATCCAGTTGAATAAAAATAGAGGTAAGTGTATATATGTATCATCCATTTTTATTATTTTCCATCTCTTTTTAGACATATCTTTTAATTCGGCTCAATTGCTGAGTAATCGGCCGTCGATTCAAAAGTTTCAAGACCGTCATCCCGAGGAAAATCTCTTGGATGTCTTTTTGAATCCGACATCGATTATCTCAAACGATCGTACGACGATCGCCAATATCCTCGCTCTAGATTTTAAAGCGGAAGATATAAATTACGAGCTTTACACCAAGGACAATAAGGAGCAACCTGTTTCTCTGCGAGTGGGCGATGCCACCCAACTGAAGGATTCGCCATTTAATCCTGAATGGCCAACCAAGATTATTATTCACGGGTGGACGGAGAGCGGGAATGCTTTTTGGCTGCACGACATCCGGCGAAATTATCTCAGCGTCGGGGATTATAATGTAATTTGCGTGGATTGGTTCGCCGGTTCGACCAAAGAATATCTAACGTCCGTCAAACTCACTCATCAGGTGAGCGGTTCGCATATTCTACGAAAGTTGAATCAGTAAAAAAAATTAAACTCGAGTTTTCTTGTGAAAAAATATTGATAATGATTGCAAAATTCACATCAAATATATATCTAATATTCCATCCATTATCTCAGGCAGAAATGATCGGTTCATAGACGTCGAATCGACATCTATGGATCGATCATTTCTGCCTGGGATATTAGAATATAATTTGCTTAAAAAAATGCTTGTTTTAAAGTACAACGCAATGCACAGAAAAGATTTTTTTGTACAATATACAAATAGAAGCCGTCACATTGAAAGCAAAAATTTGTTTTGCGAAGTTACAAGAATTCCCGAATCGGGGTTCACTTTAATGCGAATTCATTTTTTACAAGGTATATTCTTTTGTAAGAACGTTATGCGAAATCAAGAGTGTTTTGCAGGTGGGAGAATACGTGGCCGTGTTTATTGAATTTCTCGGATCGGAAACTCAAGTTTCCTTCGACGATATTCACGTTTTGGGCCATAGTCTGGGTGCCCATGTGGCCGGATACATCGGTAATTACATGTCGAAGAAGCTCGGTCGAATCACCGGGCTCGATCCGGCCGGGCCGGCATTCGAGACGCCTTATCTCAAAGATACGGAGGAGCGACTGGATGCTGCGGACGCCAATTTCGTGGAT